AAACCCAAACCCAAACCCAAACCCAAACCCAAACCCAAACCCAAACCCAAAGCCAAACCCAAACCCAAACCCAAACCCAAACCCAAACCCAAACCCAAACCCAAACCCAAACCCAAACCCAAACCCAAACCCAAACCCAAACCCAAACCCAAACCCAAACCCAAACCCAAACCCAAACCCAAACCCAAACCCAAACCCAAACCCAAACCCAAACCCAAACCCAAACCCAAACCCAAACCCAAACCCAAACCCAAACCCAAACCCAAACCCAAACCCAAACCCAAACCCAAACCCAAACCCAAACCCAAACCCAAACCCAAACCCAAACCCAGAACTAAAAATAGAATTCTTCTAAACCCAACCTTCAAACCCTAGCCCAAAATTATAAACTTATTCAAATATCATTAAATTTTATATCATTCGATCGGAAATGATGAGTAGAACAACGTAGTATATTTAGTTTTTCAATTTATAAAATATTAACTTTGTAAATAATATCAGATTAAAATTTCATAAATGAAACCATAGGAAGAATGATAATTTCAAAATCCTTTAATGAGATTATATAGTTTATATCATCATAAACAGTATTCATCATTAGGTTCACATGAAATTTCAAAAGTTCAAGTCTGTAGGTATAAAAGTATAGAGTGAAAAGGGAAGTTGTGAGGTACAATAGGTCAACAATAACTTTTGAGTTTCTCATCAAAACATATTAAATCCTGATATGAAAATGTTCCATTTGATGATTATACATCGAATATCAAATTTATTTTAACTTTCATATTTAGAGATTTCTTCCCTCAATCACACATGGTCTACTTTGATGAAAAGGATGAAATCTTGAAAAAGGACCACCTATTGAAACTTTACCAACATGATGTAGATGATATATAATGATATAGAATTCATTTTCTTATCATAAAAATCAGAAATGGTACCATGGGAAGGTAAATGTTGATATTTTATGGTTGACTTTAGAGAAAGACAAGTCAGACCAACTCTATCAAATATATCACTTGCATCAACAATATATACATGAAAATGCTCCATTCGATGAGTAGAGATAGAATATTAAGTTTA